ATCCAACGTGTGGGAGCTTCTATTGAATCTGGTTGCGCATGCCCGTGACGTCAAATCTCTATCAAAGTGTAAAAATCCATGTTCGTGACGTGTATGGTGGCTCCAGTTGAACCAAAATCTTATAAATTGTTCATGAGTGTTTTAAGCAGTTCAAAAAACTCGTAGATCGTGTTTTATCAAGTATAAAAGCACTCGGCTACGCCTTTTATACCTGATAAAACACTCCTACTCGTTTTTTAAACACTACAAAATAGTGCTAGTTAAACAATAGAAAACAATGGAATTTGCATGAAATTGTGCTATTTAGTATTACTAAAGTTTCACGGATTTACTGTGGTCGCTCTACTAAATGTTCATTATCACAAAATAATTGGCCGTGTCAAGCTTCGTTCTCAAGTCTTTGGTCAATTTTATATTTTAGTTTCGAATTCTTTCCACTGATATTCTGTCATGTTAGATGTAGACAATGTTTCTATATATAGCTCAAGCCCAGTTATAAAGCATGATCGAGAATGATGTGGATGTAATCTGGTCAATAAAATGTTATCACGTTCGCAGAATCCCTGTTTATCATATCCATGTCCGGCTGACAGGATGTGTAGACCTGACTTCTCATGGGACACATTCAGCTGTGATGGTGAGTTTCAGTGAATGATTATGGGTAGCACAGATATAGGGCACTCACCTCTCACCTCGGGACGATTTCTGGACTCAAAATCAGATCTTAGTAGAGTTTATTAAATCTTTACCCTGATAAAGGAGCATAAAACACACTGTTTTCTTGAGGTTTCAATAAAAAATGAATTTTTGCACTTGGTATAGAACAATAGTAGAGCATGGGTAAAGCAGGTACAAATATATATATATGTGTGTTTGTATAAGTCTAGGTCGGTGTCAGTCTAGTGCTGAACGTGCTAAATAATTTGTTACTTCACCCATGATATTTTTATTTGTTACCTGTAGATGGAGGTTGGACGTCATGGAGTCCTTGGACTAACTGTAACCCATCAGTCTGTCCGTACACACGTAAGAGAACCTGCACAAACCCAGCCCCTCAGAATGATGGAGCCAACTGTACTGGACCAGGAATGGAGACAAAGAACTGCTTTATACCAGTCCCAGCTCCAGACGGTAAATGCATTTCGACTTTTTGTTTGTATATGTTGAATAAATGGAAAAGAAATGACTACATGAGGTCCAAAAAGATCGAAGTAGCTTTTAATTCGACATGGCATAAAATTATCTCACTTTTCTATCAAATAGGTTGTGATATTCCATTCGGGATGGCAAATGGAAATATTTCTGACTCACAGATAACAGCATCATCGTACTTTATAAACCCTGAAAGACACCCAGACATTTATCTACCATCAAGAGCGCGGCTAAATGGTACTTCTGCCGAACCTGACCGCGAAGGGGCATGGGTACCAAACACTAAGTCTGTAGGGGAATATCTACAGATTGATCTTGGCAGCGTTAAGATGATTACTGGAGTCGCCACACAAGGAAGACAAAGTTGGCCACAGTGGGTAACTGAGTATAAAATATCTTACTCAAAAGATAATAGCAGCTGGATAGACTACGAAGGAGACTGTAATGAGGTTTGAAAATATTTTTTACAAAGTATATGATGTCTCGACTATCATGTTAGGGACTGTGCAATAATTAGCATGAGGGGGGAGGGGGTGGGATGTTTTAAAATGTGTATAATAGGCCTTAAAGATAAATTATACCCCTTCTCTCCAAAAGCTGAATTAAATTCTTACCCCATCCCCCAGCACATTTTTAGGTCACTGCTTGCATTGCTTGGACAACTACGTAACTGCTTCCATGGCGAAGCTAAGATAATGGTTAAGGAGTGGCTGGCGCCTCAGTTATACAAGACGAAAAATAATTATTAAAGATTATCACTAAATGCAAAAAATGAAGAGTACTTCAAAAGAAAAAGAAAAAAAAAAAAAGAAAAAAAGAAAAGAAAAAAAAATCCACCGCATGATCGTTTTCTCAAGCAACCTCCATTTTGCCTTTAGTATCTCAGCTGCCCGGCCAAAGACTTCAATGATGGCCTCAACGTGGCGCAAATAATCCATCGGTCTTTTAAGTGATGGTTATATGCTATGTGTTTATAAACCCTTGTTATAATTACATCAGTGGTTTAATTAGAAAAGCCCCCCTTTTTCGATTAAGCAAGACATTACCCCCCAGCGAGGTCTATTTTTTAACACTTTGACCCTCCTCAAATTTTAGAGCCCCCTCCTGCTAA